AAAATTATAGAGTACAATTTTGCCATTCGTTACCAACCTTCCCACTGCCCAGACTGCTTTAGAGGCGTCTTGCAGTATTCCAGTTAGTAGGTATCAAGATTTGTAGTAGTGTGGTGCATAGTACACAACCTACTCAACATGAGGGAGCAGTCTCTTATCAACTGTGTATTGTGAACATTGAAGAGCAGGAACACAACAAAGTGGATGAAGTGGAAGGGAAAGGTGAATGCAGGAATAGAAAAGTCCTGAGAAAGGACAACAGGTTTGTACAGCATGCAGTCTCTTCTCCTCCCAACCTGGATCTTGCCTCAGCAATCTTCGTAATCAGCTGAAGATCAGAGTGATGGACTGTTGTCAGACCCTGAAAATTCCTTTCAATATTAGTGTCCAGAGCTATGATAACTACAGCTTGAGAAAGCGTAGCAACAATCTGAGTGTCCAGCCTTCATTCAGACTTTTACAGCTTGTGCTTCAATGGAGCCTGAAGCATTGACCATCAGACACTTCACCCTGATGGAGTTGACCAATCATTCCATAATGAGAGCGATGATGGCCAAACACTATGCAATTTCCTGTCCCAAGTCAATGCTGAGTTCTGTATGATTCCTGATATTAGAGGCAGGTTTTCTGACAGTGCATCATCCATGTGGATGGATACACCCTTCTTTAGTAGACCTATGTAAGTCCTCATCTAAGCCTTCTGAAAAAGATCCTATGTGTGTGTGACTTTGACCTCCTGTCCTAATTTTTCTCTGCCCTGACTGGTGCAGACTTCTGCTCAATATCTCACAATGTGCAGCGCCTCCTCTATCCCAGCCAGTGAAATGTATGTGGTGTCAATATCTGAATGGTCAAGTGCAGTGTAGGATTTCATAAATACCTCTTGTCTTCCTCCTTTTTCTCTAGGCAGTTTCCAGTTCATGGGCATCTGAAATGAGCAGGGATAAGGTGTGGCTATTAGAGAAGGGAGAGGAGAAAAGATATTGCGCCTGCGTAATGACATCAGCAGTTTCTACATCAGAAGAGATTGAAGGATGACGGAGAGACCACAGCCTCAGAATTGTTTCTTCCCATGATGACCAGGACTCTATCCTCCAAGTGTCATAAAACATACTGCCATACTTATCTTTCATCAGTTCATTGCTTATTCCCCCATATGATGCATCATCTTCTCCTGCAAAGAAGAGGCTAGGCTGCCAGAGTACATCATATCATACGTTTGCCTGATATTTATTATACATGGCTGTATTAGCTGCCAGAATAAGTAAGTGGTGTATTATTGCTTGCAAGGCTTGTCTCCGTGCTCAGTGAGCAATAGTCAGGTAGAGCACGTGAATATTAGGATATAGTCTTGACTGATAACAGTTGTTGGTAGGTGAGTGATGTAGTTGTAATGAGTTGATTAATAATTGAGGCTATTGAAAATGAAATCATTCACCTTGACAACCTGTGTGAAATCATTAAACTTCATCCTGTGCTGCTTTTGGGTTCCATTCACAATATTCATAATATCTACTTTCACCACCACTTGTTCCCACTGCCTCCTAAGCATGTGTCTGGAGGGTTCCCTCTCCCCCTCCAGGTACAGATAATTGTTTCTTCTTTCCACTTCTTCTAGCAAGACTTCCAGCGCATTGTATGAATACAGTGGTGATCACACTCTCACATGTTCAGCCATTGCTCAAGGTATCACATCACCAATTCAGTCATGAAAATTAAATTTCCATCTCTTACTGCAGCTAATGCATAAATTCTTTAAGAGGTGCAGTCTGCTTCTAAGCAGCATGAGATACTAGTTTACCAGACCAAAGAATGGATGTGGAGATGTTTCCTCGAGTAGAAGAGACTAGGATTCGCGGGCACAGTCTCAGAGTGAAGGGACAACACTTTAAAACTGAGAGGAAGAGAAATTTCGTCAGCCAGAGGGTGGTGAATCTGTGGAGCTCATTGTCACAGATAGCATTGGAGGCCAAGTCATCGAGAGTCTTTAAGGCAGAGATAGTTCTTGATCAGATAGGGGATTAAGCGTTAAAGGCCAAAGGCAGGAGAATGGGATTGAGAAACATATCAGCCATGATCGAATGGTGGAGCAGACTCAATGGGCCGAATAACCTAATTCTGCTCCTGTATCTTATGGTTTTATGGTCTAAACCTCCTTACCAGTGACCCAGAGGAATAAATGAACTTAAAACCAGTAATACTTGGAAATGGACATACTGGTCATACCAGAGCTCCATGTTGAAGTATACAAGATCGGTGTGTGTCATTCACAAGCTTAACTGGTCTTACCTTTGTTTGAAAAGTGCAGGGATAATACAGAAATCACTTACGAGTACAAGCAACACCAATTTTCTATACCACCTGAAATGCTTGAACACTTATTGAGGAAGAACTGGACATCCCTTCAGAAGTATCATCAGTCATAAGCCATATGTCAGAGGAACTTGATGAAATAACAATCATTACGGAAGCAACACTGAGTAAAGTAATGGTGCTGTGGACTGTCAAGACTCCGAGGCCTAATTTAATTTAGACTCTTAAAAGAGGTCACCAAAGAGAGAGTTGTGTGCATCTATGTTAAGTTTGCAACATTCATTAGATTCTTGTCAAACAAGGAGGTAGTCAGAAAACAAGAAACTATAGGCGAAATAGCACAATATCTATCATGGAGAAGATGTTAGAATGGATCATTAAGTAGATTATTGCTGTGCGCTCATTAACACTCCAAGTAATTGGATGAGTCAAAATGGTTTAATGAAAGGGAAATCATGTTTAACCAACTTACTGGCATTTTTTGAAGGATAGCATGTGAACAAAAGTGAATATGAACAGTACTTGAATTTCTAGAGGGTATTGACAATGTGCCACATAAAAGGTAATTGCACAAAGTAGGAATCTATGGTAGAGGGTACCTATCAGCATGGATATAAGATTGGCTGGCCTGCAGAAAACAGGGTTTCCATAAATAGATCTTTTTCTAACTAGCAGCATGTGATGAGTAGGGCTCAGCTTTTTTACAATTTATATCAATGATTTAGGTGAGGTGAAAGAAGTCATGGTAGCCAAATTTGCAAATGACACAGAGATAGGTGGGAAATTATGTTGTGAAATGGGCATAAGGAAGGTGCAGGCAGACACAGGCGAGTTGAGCAAGTTGGCGTATGAAGAGTGATGTGGGAAATGAGAAGGTCATTTTGGCAGGAAGCATAAAAATCAGGGGATTACTTAATTGGAGAATGACTGCAGAATTTTGAGGTACAGAGGGATCTAGGTGTTCTAGAGCATGAGCCACAAAAACGTTAGTGTGCAGGTACAGCGAGTAATTAAGAAGGCCAGTGGAATGCTATCCTTTATTACAAGAGGAATTAAACATAAGGGCAAGGATGTTACACTTCAGTTATCAGGGCATTCGTGAGCCACATCTTGAAAACCATCTGCAGTTTTGGTCTCTCATTTAAGAAAGTCACTTCAGATGATGTTTACTAGATTAATAACTGAAATGAGCAATGTTTTCTAAAAAAGAAAGCTTGGACAAATTAGGCTTGTTTCCATGAGAGTTTACAAGCGTAATGAATGACTTGGTTGAAGTTTGTAAGATGTGAAAAAGTTTTGACAAGATGAACATGGAATACAGTGTATTAGCCAGAACCAGGGGCCTGTACTTAAAAACTAGAGGTTTCCTCTTTAGGACAAAGTTAAGGATTTCTTTTTTTCTTAGACAGTTATGGAACTTTGGAACTCTTTGTTCCAGAAGACAGTCAGGGTGTGGTCATTGAAGATTTTTAAGACAGGATTAGATATATTCTTGTCAGGCAAGGAAATCCAAGGTTATTGGGGTAGATGGGAATGTGGAATTCAAACCACAAACAGATCAGCCATGATCTTATTTAATGGTAGGTCACACTTGTTGGGTACTCCTAATTTGTATGATTTGCCAAAGGTTGAATGAGTATGGTATTCAACAAGTTCAGCAGAAAATTTAATGAGGACGCATTCCTTAACTCTGAAAATCCTCCTTAGGGAACAGGCAATGTCGAAGTCTCTGATGATCCAATTGTTGTTTTTGAGTAACAAGATCCTCTCCCTATTTGCAGTCCTTAACCAAGTTCTCCCCCATTGTTTTTGTGCAAGCCTGTCCATTCCCTTATCTTTTGTCTTTGAAAAATCAATTAACAGTATTGACGTTACCAAATGGACAGTTGGGAGTAATGAATTTGAGTGCCAAGCCAAAAGTGAGAAATAGGTCTGTTGCCAACTGAACTTTTGCTAGACAGCTTTGAAAATGTTAATGACCCAGATAAATGTGGAGAAAAATATTTTGGCCCAAAATACTAAGTGACAAATATTTGTTATTTTGTTGACATGGAATATAAGATTTGATTTAGGATTAAAATGACATCTGTCAGAGCATGAGAATTCCAGAATAAAACTTCATATCTTAATGGACCAAAACATAGCATCCCTACAGTGTGGAAGCAGGCCATTCAGCCCTTCAACTCCACACCAATCCCTCCAAAGAGCATCCTGCCAAGATCCACACTCCTCCCCTATATTTCCATTGGCCAATCCACCAAGCCTACACATCCCTGGACACCATTGGAAATTTAGCATGGCCAATCCACCTAACCTGAATATCTTTGGACTGCAGGAGGAATCCCACACAGACACATGAAGAATGTGCAAATTTCACATAGTCACCTGAGGGCAGAATTGAACCGGGTCCCTGGCACACTGAGGTAGCAATGCTAACCCCCGAGCCACCATAATCTTTCTAAATGTTTCAGTTTTATGACACTGTTACTGTATCATGGAAATATTGGAAGTGTAAATTGAACACTATATGAAACTATTAAATACTTGTTGATTCTATTTGCGAGGGAGATCCAACTATTTCTTCAGTAACTTCATCATTCCTGCTCAATGCTATTTAACTGGTTAAATGAACATGTCATTCCACAACTTTGTTTGGAACTGAACTAAATTCTCAATGTTTTCTCAAGAAACAGATGACTATGTTGACCCTGATGATCCATATTTTGATGGTGAAGATGAAGTCCAAAATTCAAGCAGCACTGACTGGTTATTTGATGTTTCTGAGGAAGAAGGTTTTTACGATTTCCTTGACAATTGTTATTGTGATAATAGAATGGAATATCTGATTATTGCTTTTAAGTTTGAAAGCTGTTCATTTTGCAATACACAAATATAAATGTAATGAATGAATCAGTACTTTGTCTTGTAATAGTTTAAAAAGTTATAAAACTTGGCCACCACTAGAAATATCTTTAGGGCTGCTCTTGTTTTTCTGAAGATGTGATGAAGCCTATATGTAGAGAGGCTGACGTTTCGGGCCTAGACCCTTCATCAGAAAAGGGGGAGGGGAAGAGGGTTCTGAAATAAATAGGGAGAGAGTGGGAGGCGGATAGAAGATGGATAGAGGAGAGGATAGGTGGAGAGGAAACAAACAGGTCGAAGAGGCGGGGATGGAGCCAGGAAAGGTGAGTGTAGGTAGGGAGTTAGGAAGGGGATAGGTCAGTCCAG